TATAAACAGATTTCCCTCCCATTGTGCAGGAAAATGTCACCTGCCAGCTCCTTTGTTCCCCAAGAAGTCCACCAACATGCTCCAAAATCAGTATAAACAGATTTCCCTACCAACTATGTTGCCTTTCCTTGGGCTGTTGTTTCTTTAAGCCAGGAGACTGGCTATCACTCACCTTCCCATTGCTGAGTCAGTTGACTTAAAGCGCCAGGCTCCAAGTCCCAGTGGTTATACAAATTCATGGAATTTAGCCCCTTCTAGTTTTCAAGGCCAACATTATAAGGATTCATTTTCCCCATGTGGGCTCCCTGGTGCTTTCCCTTTTCCAAGACTACAGATCTCTCCCTCCTGCAGGCAGCTCCTGACCACTGTTCTTGCCCTTCCTAACCTCCCCAGTGCAGATTCTTCTATACATTTACTTGTGGAGTTTGTCCTGCCAGTCTCTGGATCACTCTCCATTTTATTTACTTGGATGTGAGTGATATCTAGTTGTAAACGCAGGATGAGGTGAGCTTAGGTTTCTACTTCACCATCTTCCCAAGGCTCTCCAGCTGATACCTCCAGTTTTGTTTTGTTTTTTCAAGATTGCATTGGCTATTCAGTGCCTTTGTGGTTCCAATTTTAGGATTGTTTGTTCTAGTTCTGTGAAAAATGCTGTTGGTATTTTGATAGGGATTGTGTTAAATCTGTAAATTGCTTTGGGTAGTATGAACATTTTAACAATATTTGTTCTTCCAACACATGAGAAATGCTATGGATTTTTATGTTAATTTGTTTCCTACAACTTTACTGAATTCATTGATTTTTAGTAATTGTAGTCAGACTTTATATATTTTCTCGATAAAAAAATCTGTAAATAGAAACAATTTCACTTCTTTTGCATTTCTGATGTCTTTTATTTCTTGTCTGATTGCTCTGGATAGGACTTTAAGAACTATGTTGAATAGGAGTGGTGAGAGTTGGTATCTTTGTTCTTGCTCTTAGAGGAAGAGCTTTCAGCTTTTCACTATTGAGTATGATGTTAGCTGTGGGATAGCCATATAAGACCTTTATTATGTTGAAGTATATTCCTTCTATACATAATTTGTTAGGAGTTATTATTATGAACAAATGTTGAATTTTGTAAAACTTTCTGTGCATCTATTGAAATAATCATATTTTTTCTTTCATTCTATTGATGAGATGTATCACTTTATTGATTTGTGTATGTTGAACCATCATTGCACCCAGGGATAAATCCCACTTGATCATGGTGAATGACCCTCTTTTTTTTTTTTTCCTAAAGATTTTATTTGAGAGGGAGCATGAGCAGGGGCGAGGGGCAGAGGAAGAGGGACAAGCAGATTCTGTGCTGAGCACAGAGCCCAACGCAGGGCTTGATGCCAGGACCCTGGGATCATGACCTGATCTAAATGCAGATGCTTAACTGACTGAGTCACCCAGGTGCCCCTGTAAATGATCCTCTTATTGTGCTGCTGAATTCAGCTTGCTAGTACCTTATTGAGAATTTTTGCTTCTTATTCATCAGGGACATTGGCCTGTAGTTTTCTTTCTTTATAGAGTCCTTTTCTGGTTTTGGTATCAGAGTAATCCTGACCTTGCAAAATGAGTTTTGAAGTCTTCCATCCTCTTTGATTTTTCTTTTTTCTTTTTTTCTTTTGTGGAGATTTGAGAAGTATTGACATTAATTCTTAAATATTTGGTAAAATAGACCATTGAAGCCATCTGGACTGGAGCTTTTCTTCGTTGGGAGATTTTTGATTACTGATTTGATTACCTTACTAGAAATTAGTCTGTTTAGATTTTTCTATTTTTTCCTGATTCAGTCTTGGTAGGTTGCATGTTTCTAGGAATTTTTTCATTTTTTCTAGGTATTCCAGTTTGTTGGCATGTAGTTGTTCTTAGTTGCCTCTTAGGATCTTCTTATTTCTGTGGATTAAGTTGTAATGTCTCCTTTTTCATTTATAATTTTGTTGATTTAGGTCCTTTTTCCTTGGTTAGGCTTGCTAAAGTTTTGTCAGTTTTAACAAAACTAACAGTTGGTTTTATGAAAAGATAATCTTTTGAATTTTCTTGTTATTTCTGCTCTAATATTTATTATTTCCTTCCTCTGCTACCTTTGGGCTGTTTTTCTTCTGTTTCTAGTTCCTTATGGTGTGGAGTTAGGTTATTTATTTGAGATATTTCTTGTTTATTAATGTAGGCATTTGCTGTTATGAACTTCCCTCTTAGAACTGCTTTGCTGCATACCATAAGTATTTTGTTTCCATTTTCATTTGTCCCAAGATAATTTCTTCTTTGATCCATTAGTCGTTCAGGAGATTGTTATTTAACTTCCATGCATTCCTGAATTTTCCAGTTTCCTTTATGGAGGTCTAGTTTCATACCATTATGGGCAGAGAAGATACTTGTTATGATTTCAGGCTTTCTGAATTTGCTAACATATGGTCTATCCCAGAAAATGTTCCATGTGCATTTGAGAAGAATGTGTATTCTGGTGTTGTCAGATAGAATGTTCTCTTTATTTCTGTTAGGTCCATTTGGTCTATAGTGCTATTCAAATCTGCCATTTCCTTATTGATTTTTCTGTCTGGATGATCTTTCCATTATTGAGAGTGGGTACAGAAGTCCCCAACTAGTATTGCTGTATTGCTGTTCATTTCTCCTTGTAGCTCCATTACCTTTGCTTTATATATTTAAGTGTTCTGAATGTTGGGTGCAAATATTTACAATTGTTACATTTTCTAGATGGATTAACCCCTTTATCATTGTATAGTGACCTTCTTTGCCTCTTTTTACTATTTTAGCTTAACACTTATTTTGTCTAACAAGTATAGCTACCCTTGGCTTTTGTTCTGTTGGTTACCATTTATTTGAAATATCTTTTTCCATCTCTTCAGTCTATGTATGTCTTTTAGGCAGTATATCATTGGATTTTTTTTTTTTTTTAATGCATTCAGCCATTCTGTGTGTTTTAGGACCTGAATCGGGCAGATCTGCATCCCACCGAGTTCCCTGGTCATGGCTCTGCAGATAAAGCCACTGGTTGGAACAACTTCTTGAGCATCACAGCTAGGAACTCAGTTTTCCAAGACCTGATTGCTGGTTGTTGTAAGCCCCTCCCCACTTCTCCATCACAATCAGATTCCCAGTGGTCAAGTCCTGCAGATTTCCCTGCAATTCCTGTGGGGTAAAATTGGAATGGGAATTCCTAAAAAGTGACCCACAACACTGGGAGTGCTGGTTGTCCACACTGGGCTCTCTTTCCCTCCCCTGGAGGAACTGTAGGCTCAGGCAAGACCTCTTGGCATAGCACAGTACCAGCCTGGAGGAGGGGCAATGTGGTCAGCATGTAGCTGCTCCTCCTACTCTTCTAATGTGGTCTTTTTTTGGTCTCCATGGTACAGAGGGTGCTTCAGCATTACCCCTGCATTCTAAATTTCTCTCAGTGGTCTTATCCATGAATAGTTGTTAGTTTTCATTTTGTGAGGAAGAGCAAAATCAGGAACCTATGTCTCCATCTTGGTGATGTTACTCCTCTAACACTTGATTTCTTGTAAAGTACATCAGAAATTCTCTTCTATAACCTTCTTTGCCTTTCTCCCCTCAACAAACCTAAAACCACCTTAAGATGTTCACTACATTTTCCTTGTACCCCAAACAGGGAAGGTAAATAAGTACATTCACTGTAGTGGTAGAAAGAAATGAAAGGAAGAAGAGTGGGCAAGCAGGACGGTGGGAGGAAAGAGGAAGGGAGGGAGAGAGTAAAGGAGAAAGAGAGGAAGAAAATAATTGTATGCCAGAAATGTATCAGGAATTGTGATTGTCAGAAGCACTTGTAATAGCAAAGACAGAATTCCAGAGGCAGAAAACAATTCTGGCTATAGAGCTGTCTTGAGTTCAGTTTATGCTCAGACCAGGTAGAAAGTGGTACTTAAATGTTTACTTCTTTATCCCGACCAGTGTGTTTGGTAGTCCTTTACCTAGCTCTGAATGTTCATGGCCCATTCCAGACCCAAAGAGGGGTTTACAATTCTTTCCTTTGCCCCTGCTGCTCTCCCTGCCCCAAGGATTTATTGGGGCATGATGCTTGGAGCTTGGAGAGGCATAGCAAACAAAAGTTACAAGCTGAGTCAGTAGAGCATGTTTTGTCTTATTGGAATGTCCCTTTGCTTTTCATCTCTTGAGACTTTTCATAGAAATTCCTCACCCAGGGGCTACTGTGAAGTATTTCACTGGCTTCTTAGCCAAAAATTGGAAAAAAAAAATTCCTTCAATGTTCTTTTGTCTTCAGTTTCCATAAAGTGCATCTCCTTAGTTTAGGCCCTGCTAAGGTTAGAATTTCATTCCTAGGAACATTAGGTCATGGAAAGACAAAACCAAGAAATGGTTGAAGTTCTGGCCTGCCCAAAGCCACTCTTGACTGCCTGTTTCTATACAGACTAAGAAAACATCTAAGGTCTTTGGGAATCAATCAGCTTAAGAGAACACACATCAGAAAGAGGACAGTGTTTGATAGATATGGTAATGGCAGCACTGTCATCTCCCTAACCGATGCAGGTAGGATGGTAACATAGTTCAATGGCAGGTTCTACTATCTCCATAAAAAGAGTTACCACAACAGGCATGCTTAGAAAAAAAATTTTTCCCCCAGGGTATGTCTTCTTCCTAGGATTAGCAGACCAGACTAGTAAGCTGGATAATCAAAACAGCATAAGTTTCATTGGCTATATTTCATATTTCTTCTTCAAAGTGTGTCAATGGCATTTTCCGAGTTCTTCTGTGAGATTTCTAATTAGGTGGCTTGGTACTCTAAAAAGGTAGCATAGAAACAAGATGGAAAAGGTGGATTTAGAAAAAATATATACAGTCTTTCTGAAGGGCGAAGTGATTTCTCAGGAGTATGTAGGAGTAATAGAGCTTTCTTTAAAGATCCCACTCTGATTTCTCTTATTCTATGAGCAAAAAATACAACAGAATTTCAGAAGACCCAACTGAAAATATTCCATGTGCATAAATTTATTTTAAATTTTATTGCATCACATTATACAAGCATTAAACATGGCTTCATGTTGATGACTATTTAAATGTGAAAATTTATCATTCATGTCAGTACCCTTTGGCTATTTACAAGTAAGGAATTGCTATGTACTTTATATATCTCTGTATTTGTATGTACATATGTAAGAATACAGGACTATACATATGTACACACAGAAATACATCTATGGCCATACACATAGCTATAGATATGTCATATATAATAATCTCAGAAAGATCTGAAATTAAAAAAAAAAGAAAAAGTTGTAAACAGGGTCTTGTCTGTTTCGTTTGGTGACATGGAAGTAGGACCATATGATGACATTCTAGGAATGTGTGTCCAGGTGTCTGAATACCCTTATTAGCCCAGTGTCTGTAAAATTCACATGGGGTAGAATGCAAAAAAGGTAGCAAACAGGCTGAAAAACAGGCCCAGTATACAAGTTCCCCTTGGTTTTAAAAACTTGAGAATGTAACTGCCCATGACGTGCATGCTTGCTTGGTCAAGAATGGTCTATGGATAGATAGCAATTGTGTGCTGCAATGTGATTTCCCAGCAGCGTGATTTCCCAGGTAGTCCTTTAAGGGTGCTGACAACCCTGCTGCTGCCAATGTCTGCGACATGCACTGCGGTTGCGTTTTAGTCATTCACTTGAATGTGCTTTTGCACAGCTGGGAGAAGTAAACAGAATTCAGGTCCTTGGCTTGGAAATGAACTATTAACCTAGAAAGAGAAAAGAAGGCATTAAAACCCTATGTACACACAGTGGCTTTAAGAACACAGTGTGCAATGGCTGGTTTGTACTCACATGAATCAAAGGCATTCAAAGAATTTGTAACCCCAAACTGAGTCAGGTATGGTATAAACATTATTGTGCCTACTTTAAGACTAAGTCAGAAAGGCAGTCTGAAGCAAGGTGACACCCTGCCAACCACTGGCAGAATAGAGACAGACAGACAAACACTATGCTTTCAAGCAAAAATTAGAAATGGCCTCTGGGGAGAAAGCAGCCCATAGTGATGAGACCAGAAGAAACTCCCAATTGGTTACCAGCCCTACAGGCCAGTGCAGCCCCTAGGTATAGGTAATGCCCCTGCTGCACCCTGGTCTCTAGCCTCTGGAGCTCCTAGGAACAGTGCTCTTCACTAATGTCTGCCTCCTACCTCCAAACAAGGCCATTTGGATAGTTAGTCTTTCTCCTCTGACGGATGACCAGAGACAGAGAAGAGGTGATTTGAATGGGTGTTGGAGTCAGGGGTTTGGAACAAATTCTAGGATCTGAGAAGGTTAAAAGCTGGATAGGCTCTTAAAGTATTGTTCAGTCCAACTTCTTTACTTTTGCAAATGTGAATATCAAATCCACATGAATATTCTATTCCAGATCCTACAGATAGAGAATGGAAAAGCGAGGTCTAGTATCTGGCAGACTGTAACAAAATGTTTAACAATACAAATCCCCTACAGTATTCTTTTTTTTTATTATGTTATATTAATCACCATACATTACATCATTAGTTTTTGATGTAGTGTTCCATGATTCATTGTTTGCGTATAACACCCA